AGGAAGTATATAAATACATTTACACAGGCTAGCTCTCACGTTTTCTGTGACTGTCCGTTCCCTGCAAACTTCAAAAACAATAAAAACAATCCACCTTTTACAAAATCCAGCTCTTACGCCCTGGGACTTGCGAGACAGTAGGGAAACCTGAGACTGCATAGTCCTAGTCTGATCATTCTGTAGACAGGTTCCATGTCCCTTTCCATTTTGTATCCGAGACGTCCTCGATCTGCAAGACTCATTGCTGAAAAAACAGCTGGATCATCATGTGCCTCTGCGCGTCCTGACCAAAAAGAAGTGGCTATCAAAAGCTGTTATATAAGTTGTGGCATAATACTGACAGGCCGCTATGTTTTCACATGTTTACCATGTTAACCACCGTCCCTTTCTGCAGAGTAGGAAATCTTGTTGCCAGCATGAGCAGTGATATCTGAAAAAGATATGACTATCGGCAGGAAAAACGTTCAGACCGGCAATTTTGTAGATGGTATCTCTGTTCATGGCACTTTGTATTGAATCCCTGTCCTGTCTCTGCGAGGCTCACCGCTGAAGGTTCAGCAGGAGCACCATCTTTCCCTCCACGTCCTTCCACACGCCATAAAGAAACCCATAAAGTTGAAAACGATCAAAGGTACTAAGTTGGCAGGTTGAAACACGAAACCAAAGCATACAGCAAGACAAATACATGTACGATCTGAAAAGAGTTCAGTTCCAGCATTCTGTAGATTTTTGCAAAGTAGTATTAATTTTCTAATCAATGTATGGTTGACCCTTCCGACCCTTCCTGAAGGTGGCGCTTGCGTGTTGCGCGATTCTTCTGACTGTGGCCCGCGGTGTGGCTGTGCTGGCGCGGGCAAAGGTGGTGGCTCTGCCACCGGTTTGTCCTGAGACAGATCACCATGAATGAGCAATGATTTTGTTGTTTCTCAGTGCTTGGCAAAATGGTCAAAGGGTGCCAGCTTCAGAGAAGAATACCAATTTGAATCAATTTGAAAGGCATCCAAAAGCCATCCGACAGCACCCAAAAGATCCCAAAAGTTTATCCAGCGTTGGGAATCCGACGCTGTAGTCTGTAGCTGCACGCTATGCAGCTGGATTCACTATTCAGAATCCAGCAGGCCGGCAGGGATCTCCCTAGGAGCATACCAACATGGCGCAGTGAAACGAAACGTCCTCCAAATGAGGGAAATTGAAATGCATGTTTGAATGCCATTTCCATCTACGTACTCTGTACACCTCTGTTACGCAGTTTGGCTGCTGGACAAACGGTCTTGCACGCAAGCTTTTAGCCAGCAATGCATCAAGGCCTCACAAAATGCCTTCGGCCAAATTGCACTTGATGGCAAATCCTTGCCACCTTGCCACCCTGTTCTGGTACGGGTGTGGTATACCTCAGGCGTTGTTGCGCGCTACAATATCATCAAACACGATCAGGACGCATCAACAAGCCAGGAAACATCTAAATCAAACAAGTCAACAAACCCAAATTGGCAACTACCTAGTGCCATCATGTGCCATCTCAGTCATTTTGTAGAAAGACGACTTGGTATATGCCATTTTGTAGAGAGCACAACCAACTGCTACCAGGACACTTTTTTATGCTTTCGGTTTCTCTGTCTTCGAAGAAATCTGGCCTGCATCGGGTTGATGCTATACAAAAAGCATCCACGATACTCCAAGATAGAGACTGTCAGACCTTTAAAACTCAAGTTTGTCCTAGCCTAGCCTTGTAGCACGCGCGCTTGGACTTGGTCATGTGCCTCTTGATGGATTTGGCCGTCCTGTGCCGGTACACAGCAAGAGGGTGCAAAAGGATGCCAAAGGTTTCATAAAGGTTTCAATCAACGATTGAGTTAAGCAGCAAGACCCTATCCTGCCTCATATTTGACAATAGATGCGTTGCCTTTAGCATGTCGTGTCCGAAAAAGGCCAACCATGTCAAGGTAACCGACCTTACACAAGTAAATGTACACAGGTGTGACCACTGCTGGTGATGCAGCATCCAGCTTGAAGCAAGGTGCAAGCCAAACATCTGGGCGAGATCAATCATGCAAGGCTGCTTGAAAGCCCAACTGGTAGAAGGCTGTTCGATGACCAGATAGATGTCTGGACGAACGGACAGCAGTATCTGGCAAAAAGCAGCCTCAGCTTATCTCAGCTCCGTGTGCTGACATACCATTCTCATGCGCTTTGATACATTGAGTTCTGCTGATTTTGTAGTCAAGAAACGAAACTCCGCCAAATACGGTCGCTCAACCGGACCTTGTACCGGGTCAAATCACCTCGAGGGTTCTCTCTCGTGCGGCGGTGTACGGAAGCACAAGCAGCAGAGTGCAAGCTGCATGGTGGCGCCGCTAGTACCAACCCACCCCTGACCAACCTCAGTTGCCAAAGATTGTCAATGCGCATCCAAAGCCCAAATGTAGAAGAGAACACTGCCATTCACAAGCTTTCTTCCTACAAAACATTGTTTTCAGCCAGCTATCAAAGCGCAAGCTAGCAGCCGCAATCCAGTGTTCAACAAAGCCTTGAACCCTTGCTTGGAACAAATGTCCCACTTTGAGCTCAGCTTGATATCAATGGAAATGGACGGCAAACCCTCCGCATTCCACAGCTTACTGACCCTTTGGCTTGCGCCAAAAACATCCAGGCATTGGTAGATCTTCAAAGATGAATCTGCTACCGACCTTGACCAAGACATGAGCTCAGGCAAGCAGGCCTCTGGCTCAAACCACCTGAGGTTCCAAGCAGGCTTGCTTCTACAAAATGCATCAAACAAATGCGAGTCTACAAATTCATTTGGTATAGTGTAAGATCATTCACGGCAAACCTTTCCACACTCAATGAACCTCAACTGAAATGTAGAAAGCAACCTGAGAAGCTGCAAAACGAAAGCCAGCGCTTCCCCTTTTCGACAACTGCGCGTCGAAGCAAGCAGAGAAAAGGCATTGCTGCAAGGCCTAGTATCGCCATGGACAAAAACCGCTACAACCAAGTTCCTCAATTTGTGGGGCTCGAAACCCCTGCGTTTCGAGCCCCACAAACCCCTTGCCATGCGAGCACCAGGCCGCATGCGTCCACCCAAGTACACTTCGTGTGCTATGAATTTTTACAAGTCTGGAGAAGGAGGGCCGACGGGTACAGAACCAGTAGAGATTATCCAATGATCGGCGTTTTAGAACAGATCAATCAAGTTCCCCGATTTGTGGGGCTCGAAACAGTAGCGTTTCGAGCCCCACAAAACCCTTGCCATGCGATCACCATGCCGCAAATGATGCAAATCATGCATTTGGCATTTCTTGCATCACCACCCCTCAAAAATCACCTCCAACACAACCTCAAAAAACCTTCCCTCGAAGCACCCTCCTCCCCCAGCATGTGCCGAGTTTACGTGTACCTTTCCCGGGCCACCCCCCCAAACCCCCTAACTACTCACTTCGTTCGCCAGACACAACTCCGCTAGCGCCTTCTACGAAGGCTGGCTTTCGTAACCTTCTAGCGTCAACAAACCTAGAGAAATTAAAACTACTTCTTTAAAGTCTTGTTCAATCAACTCATAACTCATTTGTATCCATGTGGTTACTCATGTATATGATTTTGTAGAGTCTACTAATCTTTTTAGGATTTTGTAGAAGCCGGCGTGCAATTCTACCAGCCTTCCAAACAAAAGGCAAGAAACTGACCCTCTGGCAGCACAGTGGTTGTGTCATCCTTGATGGAAGGGATGACCGCGTCGCATCCAACAATCCCACCCAGGAGCCAGAAAGCAAACATGCAGTTCATGCTACCAAAACGCGGCTGCAAGCGCCCGTTGAGCCAGACCGAAAGCTGCAACACACAGTGGTCAGTGATTATCAGTGCACATCGCACAACCAATGGCACTGGCACATCGCACACCCAGAACGGCTTCTGTTCAGCCAAGTTTCTAGCTTTGGCTTGTCCCTGCTGATTCGAAGAGTTGACTTCCAAAGCTGTGTGCTCCTGACGACCGCGGTCGTCCGAAGAAGCTTTACATCACCTGAATGCCGATTGAGTACCCTTGGGATGCCTTGGGTACCCAGTCAAGTTGAGTGGTTAGAATCACTCATTGCAGCTCAGCTTCATGTCGTAGTACCAGTGATGGTAGGATTTCCTTCCACTCAATATCGTATTGCATCTTGTAACTTAGATGCCAATTGGAGAAACATGAGCTACCTTGGGCCTGGCAATGCCAGTCTCAGCAGCTGCACCCTCATGCAAGTTTACCATCCTTATCAGGCCAAGTTGCTCCATGTGCCTCTGTGAGGTTCCCACGTCGGCTTCTCCACCTTCCCATCACATGTACTAACATGGCACGTAGTTGGCCAATTCGCTGGCGGTTCCATCTCCATCTTCCACTTGTTAAGCCCAAATTGGCTGCAATGTCGAAAGGTCAGCGCTTCTACAAAATCCTAAATCCAGTGTATTTACAAAATCATCAGTCAACCTGATACGGCATGACAGATATCTCAAAATCTACTACAAAATCTCAGTTCCTGCACATTATTGGTATCTACAAAACTCACATCTCTAGAAAATCCTTTTCCACATGCACTCAATCTAGAGTCTTGCCGGCATAAACAATACTACAGAATCAGTTATCAACGTGACAACGACTGATTTCTCTCTACAAAATGGGGGGGGGGATTTTTTGCAGAAATATAAAACCCCCCTGAATTAGCTATCCCATGATACCTGATTTCGTAGAGGAAATTTTAACGGGGATCAATGTCCAATCTTGAGATTGAAAGGATCTAGCCAAAAAAAGACAACACTCTTCGCACCGCTCCACTTCGGTCATACGGTCATACGACAGTTCAACCGTGGACAAAAATGGATGGAAAGGAATGGACGTTCGACCGGTTGGACTGCACATGTATTGGGATTCCACATGAATTTGTTACTGATGAAGATAACGCTGATCTCTTGGTTTCTGATGTGTTTGGAACATGTTGGAACAAGTCCATTGTCCGGTGGATGTCCTTGCTGACAAACTTGTCGATGGCCACTGCTTGATTTGCGCTGCTCCGGTCTCCCAGATTCCAGGCTCGTCCATCATGCGGTGGGAAGAACATCTTTGTAGGATCAATCCTATCACAGCGTCACAAACACACACGTGCCTAGCACTTCCTGTCTAGGTGCCCTGGAGTAGGAGACCTGTTTACGTAGGGTAGGGTAGTCGAACGCCAGGACACCCAGACAGTGTGTGGCACAGGCACAAACGGCACAACGGACGGCACAGTCACCCGAGCGTCAAGCACCCGAGCGTGATGCTCAACGACAAAAGTCAAGTCATGTCTGAAATAAACGGACGATTTGACCGTACTTTGAGAACGTCAAAGTATTCTATAGCTGTTGAATGCTGGAAAACATTTTAAAGGACACTAAAGGAAGCTTTGCTGAGAAAACACGACTAAACAAGAGTCAAAGGCCGCGCGTGTATGTTTTGCACCCCATGTGTTTGCGGGGGCGCCCAACTTCATCGCCCACTCGGCCTGAGGAAGGTGGGATCTGGTGTCCACCAATAGAAGGCGCTGGTATAATCAAAGGGCAAGCTGGCGTACTCCGACCAGTTCGCGGCAACACACAACGCCCAAGGCATGCTGAAAGCTGCGGCCTTCTGCATAAACCTCGGGCGCGACAAAGCGCACGAAGCGGCTGACAGCAGGCTGCGGACAGCCGAATGCATGCTTTGCGAAGAAGCATCTGTATGTGTTTCTGGCCCTGACTGCCAGGGCTGTCTGTCTGCTAGCTTGCTTTACTATGCTTGACTTGTCAGGCGCAAAAATATCCATGGTCACTGACAAACACACTTCAGAATCGGTGTGGTTCTGTGACTCTACCAAATTCATTGGAGCAAGAGACTCTTCCAAAGACCAACCTGTACCACCCGACAGCACCAGCACGCACTCGGAGGAGTTGCCGCGACAGGCTGGCGAGTACCAGAAGTAGTCATCCATGCACTTGGCCCGATACTCGCCTGAGCCTGCCAAAGATGCACGTCTTTTTCAGCTGCATGAACTTCCTCGCCAAACAACAGGTGCCGAACCCACCTTCGGTCGCCATCTCCCCAAACCCATCCCGCTCCGTTCGCAGAATTGCTCCACCCTCTCGCCACCGAGGCGATCAGTGCGGCACAGGCACTGACGCACCGGTGCTTCGGGCGCGGTCGACCGGTTGGGGTTTCGGTCCGGTTCTCGCCTTCCATGACCAGTCCATCCCAATCTCCTGGCGCGTCAAAAGCCCCCCCCCCCAACGCGCCAGGGAGGGTCGACCACTCCACGCCGCTCGAAACTCCCAGCGCCGCTCCATCCCCAAACAGGTTGTACTAAGATTGCATGGACCGTTTTCTCTTTGACCTGCCGTGACTGGACTGGATATCCGACTGGAAGACAAGCTTTTGGAGGATCGAAGCAGAACCGCCGCTTTTTCTTCAGCGTCTGATCAAAAGAACTGAAGAGCGATTTCTCCAACGAAATGGACATCCCAAGGCCACAAGGCTTGCCAAATCCTTTCTGCGTCCCAACTCGTGTCAACAAAAATCGAGAACTTCTATCTGTTTTGTTCCGCACTCCGGATGAGGCTGAGATAGACCCGTTGGAGACCGGTCATACTCATAGTACCCCTACTACCCATAGCTCGATGTACAGAGATCCAAACAACCAAAAGATACCAAAAGGGTGCTCGCAACTGCTCCGTGCTCGAAAGTTGCTCCTAAGAATGATCAAAGTTGTAAGCTTCTATCCTACGGAGCTGTCTTAGACATATTTTCAATGCTTCAGGTGAACCACCCAGATGGACGTAGATGGACGTGGGACCCGAATAGGGAGACCTCGGGATCCTCCGATGTTTCACGCACGGAACCGCAACTCGCTCTCGCACCGCAACTCACTCGCGGGCCTAGCAACTCTCCGTAGACGCGCATTTGTGGAGAGGCTCTGTTCAGGGTGGTCAGCTCACAACGCATCAGTCGTGTCTTGTCCTGAGATGAAAGCAGGTGATGAGACGTGTTAAACACAAAGTCACCGTGAGGCAGAGCCACGCAGGTTGAGATGCTTGTCCTTTGAAAGAGTTAAACAGAGAGAGAGAGAGAGCGAACAAAAAATAGAGTTGATAAGCACCCTATTAGCCTGTTAGCGCATAACTATTCAGAGGTCAAGCAAAAGAAACAGCACAAACTGCAACCAGGATGTCCACGTCTCTGGGTGAACCAAAATAGCGCCATGGCTTGTTCCAGGAGACATTGAAGTCCTTAGATGCCATCGTGCAGCAAAGGACTTGGCATGGTACACAGACCACAGACTGGCTGCTTGGCAGCCTTGCCAACATCAAACTCTCCCTGGAAAACACATTGACGACACAACATCGCTTCGGAGTTGACACGTTGAAGCATGATGTGGATGCACACACGAACTCAGACCCAATTGAATGAGATGCCAGCAAAAAAAGAAGTTGCTAAGCAAATTATCAGCAAATCTATATTATAGTAGCCATATGTAGCCATCATATAACCCCAGGATTCCTTGTGATGCAACGTTTACAACTGAAAAAAAACAGGACCGCCTGACCGTCCTGAATTGGACTTTCCGGATGCCTCACCCCTGGTCCGCTCAGTGTCAAAGGCCTTCCACGTCTCAGAATGGGCTTGGACCACCTTCAACTCTGAGGCACTTCAAGAGAGTCAACGCTATAGGGTGACTTATAGCGTTGACTTCAAAACTCGATTTAAGGGTCCAATGATGTAGGATTTAAGGGCCTAATGCCAGTCCCATGAATGGTTGGGTCGCCCCATGCTCTCTTGAGCCGCTTGAGTTCTCACCCGGTCGTCTTCCCAGGAGCCTGTGACTCTCCATGTGCCGTGGATCATGGCACCAGACCAACCGGTCTACCTGCAGGGTCTTTAGCTCCATGCACTGATTCCTGCGTCCTGCCTGCGCGGGAGCCGAGCCCTTGGAACACGCGCACGCGGACACCCAGAGAGGACACCGGTGGAACCCTGCCGAGCTTCCCGGTAGAAGTCCATCGATCGACCTTCGGCCTCATAGGCCTTCGCCTGGCGACGACCAACGGATGGAGGAATTCCAGGACGAGTAGAGCCGTCCCTCGATGTTCCGAGCCAGGGTTCTAAATTGGGAGATACACAAACATGCTTGACGTCATGTCTTTAAGGTCTTCCCATGATTTGGTTTTCCGCGTGTGTTTTTCTCGAGTTCCGGGAGGAGTGCAGTGTTGAAAGTTGAAAAGCTGTCCAATACCTGATGAAACCGTGAGTTTTAATCAATCCAAAGGTGTTCCAGTGATCTTGAACTGTTGAACCTCTATATATGCAAAACTCTCTCTCTCTATGCGAAACTCATCGAAACTCTCTAGACGGGCCACGAGAGACGGGCTGGCCGTCCACGGCGCATGGGCGCGCCTGCGCGCTCTTTGGAATGAAGGTGGACACCTCTCCCATGTAGCCCATCTGGCCCACCAGCCTTGTGTCCAGGGAACAATTCACGAAAGGCTCGCACAAAAGCAGGCATGGTGACCATGGCATGACCATGGCCTTGATAGAACATATGTGATGATTCCGCAAAACCAGGATTCTGGTCGTTCCGTCGGCAGCTCACACCCCTAGCTTCTTCTACGGATCAATACCCATATAGGTTTCAGTATGTCGCGGAGTGTCGGTCAATGCTTCTTCCAACAGGTCATATGAGTGGCTTCCCTATTTTCAGGCACAGCAGCATTGTGCTTGAAGCCTCAACAACCTGAGTGCACTGGCACTGCTTCTCACACTCACATGCCTATAGTCTACAAAGACCATTGGACTAGCTGCATCTAGCTGCCAAGTCTTGGGTAGCCTCAATGGCAGCCTCGCATCTCAAAGACTCTTTGGGCTGTTCTTTGAACCACTTTTGAAAGCCCAAATGGCCTTAATTACTACTAGGAGCTAGAAGCTACTAGGGGCTCCTGGCCTTACTCCTAGTAGCAAGAACGCTACTAGGGGGTCCTGGCATCACTACTAGGAGCATTCTTACTACTAGTAGCTAGAAGCTACTAGTAAAAATGGTTCATTCCACACCCCGCTGTAAGGGCCGCTCCTGGGCGCTGTAGCAGGAAAGGTCTGCTGAAGTTCCTTCCACATCTCGATGTATCCTGCGAGTGTCCGTCACTGCTGCTCCCTCTCGAAGTCTACCTTGCTCATGTTCCACAGCCCTTGAGATTTAGGCCAAACCTCGAGCCTCCATGGTCGTCACAGTGATTGTTGCTACTCATCTTCGTTCATCTTCCTTCATTTTCCCCACCCTCTCCTAGCGTCCAACCTTCCAGACTGATATGGTAGTAGGTACCCGTGGGCCCACTGCCGCAACCACGATCAGTGGTGTTCGTGGGCTGCAGGCACCCTGCCAAAGCAAAGAAGGCATCCTCGCAGGAAAGGCACCCCATGGTGTGTGTGTGTGTGTGAGAACCGCATTCATATTTGTTTCTTGGGTACCGGCACCCTCCAACAGATCTCCTTTGGTGGCTTTGTAGACTTACAAGTGTGAGGTGGTGACCTGTGAAGTCGGGTGCTGTTCGACACCATCTCTGCAATTTCTCCTGCGGTGGCTTGGATCCAGGATCCTGCACTGGTTTCAGGACGCTCGGACATGGCCCCTGTTTGTACGAAAGGAATTTGTAATAGACCATGGTCTCAGAATGTATCTGAAATCGACATCCAAGACGAACGGTTTGAGAAGGGACCGTCTCGAAGCAAGCAACGCGTTTCCAAGAAACCCATCTATACATGCACCTTTAGTAGTTGCAACTCTCGAAGCTGCAAAGGCCACTATGGAGCTGCAAAGGCCTCCCTTCCAATTACCTTTACCAGAAGCAGGGTGACTTGTCTCAAGCAAACGCCCAGCCCGTTGGGCACAGGTCACTGACCAAGACCAAGCTTCTGGTGTGCTGATGCCCATGTCTGGTACCACCGAGTAGCCCAATTTCTCCTCATCAATGACCATGTCTGGGCAGCAAAGACTCCATGTCTGGCATAATTGCGGCATCATAAGTAACCTACTTATACAGGTAATTATACTAGTTATACACATTGGCACCTAAAACACCCAAATGATCCCGAAGGTAGGTAAATTGGTCATACTGTCATGCATGGAGGTCCTGGGGAAGGACACACTACCACGCGTGTTTGGGCACTTATCACCGAGTCTTTCGGACAAAATCATGCGTCGAGGCGACATCGTCACGAAATGTCATGAAACGGAACAACGCTTGAAACCTACTTCAGCCAAAGCTTGGAAAAACAGCTCTGTCTTCCTGTCACAGCTGGTTTTTCCCCCAAAAAAAACACAAATGTGCCATAATTTTCCCTTTCAATTCCCTTCATTCTCACCCCCCCGCCCCACGGCCGACAAGTGCTTGAGACTCATTTCAATTCCCACCCGGTCCTCGAGAAGGATCTGGGCCACAGCCGAAGTCGCATGCGCCGCTGCCCAATCCATCACCTCCGTCGCCCGACTTCGACGTCCGCCCGATTCGCCCACTCTCTGCCGAGCCCGAGCCCCCCGCTGCCAACAAACCCAACTCACCAAGGGGTTCCAAGGACTCCGTGTGTTGGAGCGACCAACCAGACCAGTTCCTGGAGTTCGGAACTCATAGGTCGCTCCGCTCATCGCTCCGCATCGCTCCGCATCGTGGACGGGTCGATGACCATACAGTGCTTGCACCCTGTCACAGACCTGCCTGAACACTGCACCGAGAAAAAAGAACACAAAAACGCTCCGGATGCGCTGCTGGACACATCCGTCCGCTATCGACACCAAGCGTCGTAAAGACCAAGAGGATAGCTCTCGGCACCGTTGGTCACATTCTTGCGCCTCGCGATGGGATGACGAGATGCGAGGAATTCCGAGAGTTGCTGGCATCTTTCAACCCCATTGCCTGAGGCAAAATGCATGCATATCCCCCCAACCATCCCTCCGTTTGTTACGTTGGCAGGATGATTTCCCAATATTCTATCTGCTCCAGGATGAATGACTATATAGGAAATGCTAGGAATATCCGCAACGCAAGGAGTTCCTGGACGCTGCTGCTGTTGCCGCCGAGAAACAAACACTCTGAATCTCTCTCTCTCTCTCTCTCTTATTGATGGAAGGTGTTCTATCTCAGGTCCTTTAGGACACTCTTGCTTCAACAGTATCCGTGTCTTCCACAGGGCCTTGCTGCGACGATTCCATCTGGAAAGCAGGTGCTCCCGCTACTTACATTCGTCGAGTTGAGTTCTGCAGAAAAACCAGGCCAAGTGCTCAGCAACCACAGCAGCCAGCGCAAATGGCTCACCATTGCGACCCAGGCGCTTTTGGGGGGCCAAATCCAGCGGAGGAAACGAGGAAACTCGAGCAGGGGCGTGGGCCAGATCTCCCAGCGAACCGCCTAACCGGTTTCGTTTAGAGGTTAAGGGGGTGTCTATGAACCACTCCGATCGTAGGTCCTGGTCTGTGGAATTTTCATGGTTACATGGCCCCGATTTCTGATGACCATTTTGGGAATACCAAACAGGTGGTGAACTCCACTTCCATCGTTTACTTCAAGAGATGCATCTCTTTCACCTCCGTCAAAAGCAGCGATCTGTCACACTTTGGCCCACATCCGTTTCATTCTTCGTTGCCCGGCTGGGTGCTAAGACTAAGACGTGCTTGGGGATGTCCAACTCATCCGATCCGGCGCTCAGACCTCCGGCATCCTCCGCTCCCGCCGTCTCGTCGCCCTGTCGGGGGGTGCCTGTTTGGAGCGTCGCGACGCAGCCGCAGCGTCTGAGTGCAAAACGGAAGGGGTGGCGGGTGGCATGGGTGGCATCTCCGATTGGAGGGGTCCCACGGACGGGGAGCCGACCTTCAGGTCTTCCCGACACGAAGCAGCGATGCGAAAGGGTTTTTCTGGGTGACTGAAAAGAGAAGACGAGAAGATCTCGTTTTGAACCGGCAGCGGTGATGCTGAAGAATTTGAAATAGGGAGCTGTCCTAATTGCGAAAAATAAAAAGTTGCCACAACTTCTTCGTTTTGGCTACGTCCCATAGATGACTAACGAGGATTCCACAGGCGTATGGCAGCCAAACGGCCCAACTCCATGTGACTCCATGTTGACTGCATGTGAGTCCGCTGATGACATCAGCTGCGGCTGCTTCTTTTCATCTGCTGGTTTTCACTGCGGGTCTCACCTGTTTGATGCTTCGCTGCCTCGGGTGCTGTACTCAGTTGGAAGAACCGAACGGTTTGCCCCTGTCAGAAGGGGTTTGAACATATTTCCAGGTCCTCAATGGGGGGAACTGGTCGAAACATCGTCCCTTCCTTCCCATGTTAGCGTAAGGCTTCAGCATCTTCTTGGGTAAGCTTCGTTCGCTTCGTTCGCTTCACCCTGGTTCATTGCCATCGATTCCTTGGACAGTTTTATAGGTGAACTGGCTGTGAGGTGGAATGTGGTTGAAGCCGAGACTTCAGTGGATGAATGTGAAATGGAAACTGGTTTCAAGTGGTTTCAAATGGGCTTGCTTTTTGGAGTCCAACGTAAATGGATCAAGATGGATCAAGGCCACCCCTTGCGTCCAAGAGGCAAACTCCTTCGGGAACCCGTCGCACGTTGTGGGCACCGTTAGATCCTGTTTGGGGCCCTGTGAAACTGGCCCTAAAGCTCGGCAGCCGGTGTGGCATGTGGGGGGCCCAAACTCTCCAGCTAATGCGGAAGATTCCATGCAGTGTCCTAGAGAGTCTCCAGCATCTTCAATGCTGTTTGGAGGTCTTTCAGCCTCAATCTCCAGGGGTCGAGAGTGTGGGTGCCAAACCCAACGCCACAAGAAGTCAAGCCCAGCTTCATCTTGTGAAGTGTTGTCAGCAGTCTGAGTGAGTTTGCTGAAGACTTTGTCCAAGTCACTCTTCTTCTCTCTGCGCTTTGCGCTCGGCATAGGAAACACCGGTATCAAAGCAGTCAGGCTTCAGCTTCCTTGGATACACTTCCAAAGAACACACACAACTGAGAGAACAATTCACTAACCAACATAGAGGTGCCCAAGCAGATGTAGCAATCCATCTTTGAAAAATTAACCATCTTGGAGGAGGCACTTTCTATCTATTCGGGGTTCACTACACATCAGCATCGCTCATCGCTCACATTTATCCCAAGAAAATGTGGGCAAAGTGCCAAACTGTTCAAAAAAGAATGATTTGCAACCACAAATTCGACACTCTGGAGCCCCTTTGGACAAACCTGGTTTCGACATATTTTGACTAACTCCTTAAATAGTGCATAGTTGGCCAAACCCTGTAAATAGTGCATAGTTAGCTAACCCTGCAAATATACACTTGTTGGATTCCCTGGGCTATAGTACGTAGTAGCTCCTGGCAGTACTAGGAACCAGAAGCTACGAGTGCGGCTACCAAGGGTCATCACCCTTAGGGCCCGGAGCGATCAGACCGACCGCCGCTCCGCTCCGGGCCCCCAGAGGAGAGGAGAGGGCCCTCGATCATCCCGCGGCGGAAGGCCGGGGCACTCGAAGTATGCGTTCGCTGCTTCTAGCTCTTTGTTGGTTCCTGCCAGATCTCCCTCCAAGGTGACCAGTTCCTGGATCGAGCCGTGAGCTGGGCTTGCAGGGCTTCCCAGAAAATCGCTCCACTCCAAGTAAACATACTTTCATCTAAACTCTCTGAAAGGATCATGGAAGTGGATGGCATATGCCCCTGGAAGACCCTGTTTCTCGACAAACGGGTGGTTTTCCACTTCCATGAATGACTTGGTCAAAGTACATATTTTGGTTCGCTACTTAATATATATATATATATTACATAATATTACAGTACAATATATTACATGTAACACGAAGAACACATCACACCGAACAGGACTTGATTCATCACCAGAAAAGCCAGGACAAACTTTAATTCATCAAGCCGTTCGTTCTTCTCTGACATCTGGGACATCTGGGAGCGAACGAAGCCCGTTTTGAAAAACCACCTACACCTCCACTTCCAAGACCCGGATGTTCTCCTCGCTCTTGCCAGTCTTCTTGTTTGTCTTATGCTCCCCAGTTTTGATCTTCACTGCCTTGTCCACCTGGTGAGACTGGAAACAACCAAAACACCGGGAACAACCACGGTAAACAGCCACCAGACAGCCATGACCGGTGATGGGATGAGAACTGCAGAGAATCGACAGTTCTAAACAGGCCGCTCTATATAGACGGAGCAAAAACAAAGAAGGATGAAGGAGAACTGCTTGATCTGTGTCCATGAGATTAGTGCTGATTAGCGCCATGAGAGAGCCATGAGAGAACGACTATATGAAGGAGAAGTGCTTTGATCGTGAATGAAGGAGAACTGGCCAATGATATACAACCATCTGGGGATATTTGGGGTACAGCATGTCCTCAAAGATTGTTCCAAGCACATTGGCTTTGCAACGGTTGGTACATTCATGAAGCCCTTTCCCTGGGGTGCTCCGCCTACTTGCACACAAACCTAACATAGCTGTCTGCAGGTTCAACACCATGACACAGGAAAGGGGGTGGGCCGTCAAACCACTTGAGGGGCGCTGAACAAGACTTAAACACATTGACGGCAAATTAAGCACAACTGATTCTCTTAATTCAAGAAAAACAGCACATCGAAGAAGAGGGACATGTGACATGGTGGTTTCTGCTGTTGCTGCTAAAAAGATAATGCTCGTCTTCTTGGTGGTTGATTCTGTTCCTTTTCATGAACGATCCGCGCTGTTTCTTCCACACAAAAACCTGTTGTGCTAGAAACCGTTCGACTCATTGAACATTGCTTTTCTGCACGTAATGCCATGAACCGTGCAGTACTCTCAGTACTGTTGTATACTATATCATTTATATAATACTCTCACATTCCCTTACACTCCCTGCCAAAAACCAATCACGTGGAAACGAGACAGAAGAGATAGATGGGAACATGATGATTCCATTCGTTCCACGCAACGGCATTCCATTCGTACCATGTCTTCCGACGTCTTCCCGCTTTGCGGAAGCCACCGAAACGCACCGATTCATCGGCTTGTCCCCCGCGGCGGTGCGGTTCGGTTCCGGTTCGCGCGTGGTCGCCCCCAAACGGAGGATTAGTTTCGCGCCCAAGCGCCTTGGAGTCTTCCATGAACTCCTGAGAAGGAAAAGCGAACTCAGTGGCTGTCACGATCTTCGAAACCAGCGAATCGAACTGACGGCTCTCTGCGAGAGAATAAGAGAAGCCTGGATGATGCTGGTTCATGAGATCAATGTTGAGTGTGGTTGATCAATTAAGCAACATTAAAATATATTAAAATAGCCTATAGGGACGATCTCAGAATGGCTTTGCATCTCCAAACCAACGGGGCATGTTCAGCGCCCCGTTCCCGCCCCTCGACACCAGCTCGGGTCGCCCCGAGACACCAGCGTCTCCTGGTACTCGCTCTTGGCGGCCTCCTCCTGCGCCTCAGTCTCCGCCTGGAGGTGTGCGAAGTCACTCTCAATGACCTCCATCATTGAGACCACCCCACCGCTCTCGCCGCCCAGGCCCGTGTACCTGGCGAGTTGAGGTGCTGCGAATTGGGCCACCCTCCCCCCCGAGGTGTTCGCCTGTCCTCTCACATGGTTGGCGGTGTTGGAAGGATCGAGTGGCCTGGTTTAGGGTTTGCAGCCACCCTGGAAGGCTCTGGAACACTGAAAAGGAGTGCAGGTCGGGTCCTTCAATCCATTTTCACCTCCACAAAACTCGGGACCTGCCTCTTCCAGGGCGGAAAAGGGGGCCCGAGCTGCGTCCATCACTGCAACGACCAGCGCCTTCTATGGCTGCCAAATGATCCTCTGAAAGCTGTCTGAAACGTGTATCCTCATTAATTATCATTAAATTAGTTGCATCAAAATACATCAAATCCATAGCATCAATCCTAAACTTGACTCACAATCAATCTCCAAGACAGATTCAACGACCATCCTTTAAAAACTGTTCCAAGACACGCATTTAAGGAGCCTTGGCAAACATATGCACACATCCATCAATCGCATCCACTTCACCATCTTCTCGCCCCACCGTTCGTGCCCCCCCCCCGCATAAGAACGCGGCTGCAAACCCCTCACTCCCTCCTCCCTCCGCGGGCACGGCTCGTCGGAAAAGATGTCTGGCGCGTGGGCCACGCTGCTCTGAGCCGTCTGGACCAAGGACTTCGCACCGGCCGCCTGGGGGCCCGGGAGACAGCGCCGGGCGCGTGCCCGTGCCGGGCTCGGACGAGTCGACCGGTTTCCGGTTTCCGGGGGGGAGAGCTTCATTCGGGGGGCTTCAGGGGAGGTTCCCCATGGCTG